AATCAGAATCTGTTTCTCCACGCACTTGGCTACGTAAATCATATTAGCTTTGCTCGTCCCTATTTGGGTATTAGAAGCTAAATCTCCTGTATAGTAAGTAGCATTTGATAATTTAGGACTAGCTTAATGCGTCTATGATGAAATTTTTCCTTTATGTTCTCAGAGAAATGGTTTGACTTCTACAACTGCCAGCCAATTCTATGGCCCTCATTTTCGAAGGGTCTTACAAGCTGCTACCACCTAAAATGCCTTTTTCTTGTTCTTTTCTTCATCAAGTTTGTGGTGCTATGATTCATAACTTTTGGATCACTATATATATTTTATTGTTACAAAAATATGGTCCTTGGCCACATTGTTTCACCTTGAAAATAAAATAATGCATGGTCTCCATTTTTCTTGCTTCTACAAATTTTCTTTTGAGCTACCTGAAGCACTTCCCTTCTTGCTCCTAATATCTGAATGTTGCAACCTAAGTTGCTTGGACACGGGTGCGGGCGTCCAACACGGGTGCGGATTTAGAGGTCGGATCCTTTGAGATGTAAATTCTAAGATTCGGAGATACGAATCCTAGTATGATACGGGTGTGGGGATCCGGCTAAAAATAATTCAAAAATAGAAAAGTATCTCTAAATTATAAGAAATTATGTGGAATACTTACGTATAGCTTGTGAAGTGTGGATTTCCTTTTTATTCTCAAGTTGTAGGTAAGTAAATGATTGATTTCGTAGATAAGGTATGTTATTTCTTCAAACTTACCCTAATATTGTTTGAGCAAATCCAAGTACGGATCCCATACCCACACCCATACTAGTGTCGTGTCGACACGGGTGCGGCACCTAAACTGCCGTGTCGGAGCAACTTAGGTTGCAACTTACTAGGTCTGTTTCACCTCAATTTCATAGTATATGATATTGTCAGTGATCATCATTTTAAAACTTTTGCCTTGCAGATAGTGAGGGAGTTGCTACGCCTACCTGATAGTAATGTCAATGCGCTGAACCGAGATCACAAAACAGCTCTTGACATAGCCGAAGATCTTCCCCTCTCTGAGGAATCCGCAGAAATAAAGGAGTGTTTATACAAATATGGAGCTGTTAGAGCTAACGAATTGAACCAACCAAGGGATGAGTTGAGGAAAACCGTTAGCCAAATCAAGAAAGATATTCACACGCAGCTTGAACAAACTAAGAGAACCAATAAAAATGTCCATGGAATTGCTAAAGAGCTTAGAAAGCTCCATCGAGAAGGGATCAATAATGCAACAAATTCTGTGACTGTTGTTGCTGTTCTCTTTGCCACGGTTGCATTTGCTGCTATTTTTACTGTACCTGGAGGCGATGATAATAATGGAGTGGCTGTAGTTGTGACCACTGCTTCTTTTAAAATCTTCTTCATCTTTAATGCCCTTGCACTTTTTACATCTCTTGCTGTTGTCGTAGTTCAGATTACATTGGTTAGAGGAGAAACAAAGGCAGAAAGAAGAGTTGTAGAGGTAATTAACAAACTGATGTGGTTAGCTTCTGTCTGCACTTCAGTGGCATTTATGGCATCCTCTTATATAGTGGTTGGTCGCAAGTTTGAGTGGGCTGCAATTTTGGTAACAGTAGTAGGGGGAGTAATAATGGCCGGTGTTCTTGGAACCATGACTTACTATGTGGTAAGATCAAGGAAGAAAAGATCGATAAGGAAGAAGGAAAAGCATGCAAGAAGTGGTTCCAACTCATGGTACCACTCTGAGTTTTCTAATTCAGATATTGACAGGATTTATGCCCTTTGAAGTGGAGAGTTGCTACATAATGAGGAAACTCCCAAGAGTTTTCAAACGAAAGGGTTACAGTGTTGTATGTAGTGAAGGCATTGTTATTGAGTTGAGGACTGATGAACACAACTCATATCCTTTCCTAAGAGCATTTAAACTTAATTCCTGCACTTGGAGGGAACTGCAAGTTCAAATGAAGATGTTTGATCTGTTCATGTTTGGAGAGAGGTTCCATTTTACGCGTAATTTCCTGGCAACAAGGAAGGTTTCTGTCTGAACCAGAATACGAAGCAAGATGTATAATTTCTAAGCTACACTCATGGAACTGTAGATTTTAATGTGTGGCGCGGGATCTAAATATTCCTGTATAATCTAGCATCAGGAAAGATATCGTAAACTACCACTTTATGTTGTAAATTATACCATTATGGAAGAATTCTATGTAAGCTACATTTTGTATGTGCCTTTTTGGCTATTGCATCTGAATGTTATGCACTTATGCCATGACAGGCTGAGAGTTCCGGTTGTCGGATATATAACTGTGTATAATCAATGTATAATCTGTGTATACCGGTGAGTCAACCTCTTTCCTTTCTCGGGCAAAGGCTTCCTTCCTTTCTCCAGTTTTTGATACCAGAATACACTGGCTATTGGTGTAACAATCCCAAGTTTTTTTCCCCATGTGATTCTAAACTATTTTTCAACTAAGCATCAAGAAAAGTTTGAGTAGTTTTCAAACTGCAACTTATAGCAGTTTGGTGTAATTTCTGATTGTCCAACTTATAGTACTTTTGGGGTAATTTCTGAATATCTAATTCAACCCGGACTATCTTTTAAAAACAAAAAATCTAACCGTTTTGTTTTATATTACCGCATTTTATTAGACACAGAATTCAAAATAGTAATTTGACTTATTATATATGCTACTAGATATTGTATGCCCGTGCCTTGCACGGGCCCGACATTTGAGCTTGGCCTTATCGGTATTATCTGTTCTTACCTGCAAATACATAGAATAAAAGCTACATCATTAATTCAGTTATGTAATTTGCGACAAGTATGAAAAAAGGATACAGAATTTATTTTGAATTGCATAAAGAAACAACTTTATAAACTTTGAATGGAACGATGAGAGCAAAATATTATATGACCTATAAGCCATAGTATCCCTACCTCTTGCTAGCATAAGATTGATCTGGACAGGACTATGATTTTACAAGCCTGAATCCTAAAACTTTAACATCAAACCTTCTCCGATAAGGATGTCTCCGATAAATATGATAGTTTATATCACAGTGTATTAGTAATTGATTTGATTCCTTCATGCGGATGCATAATCTCTGGAATAGCGAAGGAAATATGTAGTCGATTGATCAACCATAGAGCACCCACCTTTAGCAGCCCCATTGGCTATCATCGTTCTCCACCTCTAAGTTACGCTTGCTTTTCCCTCTCTATGACATGCATTTCTAGCAAAATCCCAGAATTCAGTACTAAATCATAAGATTGATGCTTGGAACTTGATGAAACAAAGGGACATTTGGACAACTCATAACCCATAATCTTTCTTTGAGTAATACTGTGATAATGATGACGCTGGACCATCTCAGTTATTGGCATTTCATTCATTCATTCACTGAATGTATATTTTCTTTTCCGGCAATCTGTATGTAGGATGGAATTTAACTTTGTTAAGTGAAGAGGCAACATTAGTCCAAATAAATGCGTAAATGAAATATTAAAAGGCTAATAAAATATTCGTAAAATTCAAAGAAGTCGTGAAATATGTGCTGCAGAAAAACTGAGGTAAAGAAGTGGAAATGACATACAACAGATAGCTAAGAACTTGGAAATTTTGTGATTATTGTTTCTTCATATGAACATATTATTGTATCTAATGAGGTAAATTGATCCATAACAATTTCGTATCAAATATAACAAAACATTCCCATATAAAGTTTTACATTAATGACTCAAGACATTGTGCAAGTTGATTATATTCATTTAAAAACCATTTGAGTACATATAATGTGACATAAGTTAACAAAATAACAAATGCAACTAAGGTCGATAAATAATTGAAGTTACATTGAAAGAATCTTCTGGTAGTGTCTAAAAGAATCACGAAGACATACCTCACTTCCTCAATTAACAAAAATATAAACTACTCTATACGACTCATACACTGGTAAGAACCGCTAAACTTACTCTCTAATAATCGAGTTCTGTATTCTGATATCAAATGTCAGCAGTAGATAGCCAGTTCTCATTGTTTTACTTTCTTTTGCGATTTAAAAAATTTGCCAACCTTGCTCTCTGGCAAGCCAAAGCGTTTTCTGATGATCACATGCAACAGAGAGGTGTTACCACACTCTTGAGTCATCCTTAAAGAAAATCGAAGAATCTACTGATATATTCTCTTTCATGATCGTTTTTCTTTCATGTATAATTTAGGACAAAACTCTACAAATAATATAACGTTCTGATAAACCTCCTTGATAGATGATATAGCATAATGAATAACATATTTTAACATCATCACAAAATCATTCCACACTTCAAATTTTCTAATATGAGGACCTTAAAGTGTAACACATATTCCTCCTCATATACTAAACAGACTTAGCAAACTACTCCCCCATACCTCAGAATTCAACAGAGAGTGAAAAAGAATCATGAAGCAAGAATTTCATAGATATGAGAAGTTGGAAACTAAAATTGCTAATCAGAATAAAATTAAGAGAAAAAAAGAAAAAAATAGATGAGTAGAAGAAGTGGACTAAAGGAAAACGTTTAACAATGAGACTAAAAGTACGTAGAAAGATAAATATTAATACTTCATGGTGGAATAGGTCCACAAATTAGTATCAGACCAAAAGTTATGGTAGTTTGGGTTAGCTGCTTTAATATAGTAAGATCATAATTCCTTAAAAGTTAGACAGGAAAATTTCTATATGAAATGCCATAAAATAAAAAAGAAGAACTTCTAAGTCAATTAAAAAAAAAAGGACACATCTTTAGTACCATAAATTTAAGTGTGCAAAAAAGTTTTTGGTTTCAATGAGATCTTCTTCATTTGATAATGTTTAGACGATTCAATTTTTGAACGGACTGCATGGAGAAAGATTAAAAAACTTAATATGAACCAAGTCAATATATGGAAGAAAGTTTTTTTTATTCCATTAGATCACTATGACTTCTCCTATGGAGTCTCGCATTCTTGCCCAGTTAGAACAAAACAAAAAATCTATTGTGCATTTAGAGACCTTGCAATTGTCTGGTCCATCTTTGTAAGGAAGTTCGATTGAATTCTGAAAATCCTAATTTCAAACCCCATGGTAAAATTCAAATTCCTTGATGAAATAAAATAAAAGAACAACATATATGTAACACTTCAAAGTAGAGCGGGACGGTTGGCCAGATCTGACTCCCCACTGCTGTGTCGTGTCTTCCTAGTCAACTGTATGGTAAAGGCTGGTATGGTTCTTCAATTCGACTTTCCATTCATAAGACTAAACAAAAATCATTCAGAAATTCCAAACCAAAAATAGAACCATTCAGCTGGATATATGGATTCTAAATAAACACGCACATCCTCAACTTTCTGAGCAAAGTACAAAATCAATGAAATGTATTGCTAATATTTGTAGAGTCAATTTTCTCATAAAATTACAGAATAAGAAACCAAAATAATATTCTCTAACAATGTACGATCATACTAATTAATCACGAATAGAAGCTGAGAAAATAGTCATTAGCTTAAAAACAAAGATTTTCAAAAACCATAATGGTAAATCAAAAATTTCTTTGATTCGATTATTACGTAACAAATCGGATTAAGCAATTGTAACTCATTAAGTGGCAATAGATAAACGTGGATCAATTTCATGCTTATGCCACTTTAATACGCAACGGCCAAACCAATTTCAAGCATAGTTCTTGCACTTCACCCCAGTTTAAAATCAATTACTAAAAAATTCATAAAAAGGTGACTTTAGAATGGAATAAAAGACAAAGCAACTAAGTAAAAGAGAAATAAGAATGACGGAGATTCATGAAATAAGCAAATGTAAATAAATTCGGATTTAGAAAGAGAAGAATAAGTGAAGAGGAATGACTGAATTGGAGAATAGTAGGAAGAAAACAGGAATAGAACATCCTAGAATCTCTTTAATTGATTGATGAGGCAAGAATGGGAAGAAGCAGGGGAGATTTTTACACATTCTTCACTAAATCAAATTATAGGTTAGCTGAAAATACCAATTATGCCCTTGATCGACCATCATGCCTTTTTCTATATAATAGAAATATTAGTGACGTTAGGAAAAAAAAATTGAAGAAATAGTTGCAAAGTTAATTTTAAAAAGAATCATATCAAAGCTCAAAGTTGAATTAGTTGAAACGAATTGGGTTAGAAGAAAAAGAACTTCGTCCATTTTCCTTACGTTTTCCACTTTTGTAACAGTTCCAAAGGAAAATTGAGCTTACAAGTCAGTTGCCAAGGGCTTCGAGATGGTTCGCGTACACGTGAAGTACGGCGTCGGCGAGTTTCTCTACGACACAGAAACGACTTCAACTGTTGATGAAATCGCCAAAGACATTACAGAAATCGCGAATCTCCAATCGAAGATTCAATATCTCGCCCTCAAATTCGAGCCTTATCTCTCCAAGCTTCAAGGCGATCCTAAAGGTTTTTTACAATCATAAATAAATGCTAATGTCATGCATAATCATATGATTATCAGTTGTAATTGATACTATATTACTTTCGCATAACGGTTTATAAAATTGCGAATGCAGTGATGCGTCTTATTAGAGCTTTCTCCGAAGCTACTTCGTACGCCTCCAAGGTTTGTTTCTGTATCTTTTTTATTTTTTCATTATTGCTTTAATATTTGCTCTGAAATGCTTATTTATGTTATTAGTATAGTGATTTCATGATGTTTTAGTGAGTCAATAGTTACATTGTTAGAGCGGACGGTGCAATTAATTCCTCTGCTTACTTATGTCACTTTTTCTAATTTTGGAATGTTCAAAAGTATATGACCATTTCATTTATAATCTTTTTATAATTATGGTGCTTACATGCATCTCGAATAATCCACTAGGTAGAGGCAAAAACACTATGTGATATTTTCCCATCTGTCCAAGGTAAGTGTCCAATCTTACATGATGTGCTGGTGGGAGATAATTGGTACCCGTGGAATTTGTCGAAGTGTGCACAAGCTGGCTCGGATACCACGTTTATTTTTTTTAAAATCCACTAGGTACCTATAGTCTCCTTGGTGACTCTGTTCACCAAGACGTACATTCCATTGATAGTATTTTTATAGAAGATTCAAACTTTTTAAAAAGTCAAACTCATTTAATTATTCAACACTTAGATGCGGTGTTTTCTCTATTAAAGCAAAGTTTTCAACCATTACTTTTATAATCTTTTTCTATGATCACTAATAGAATGTATGTTTAGTCAAACACTCTCATACTATGGAGCAAAAGGAGTATTTTGCAGTGAGATGAGTTTATTCCCCCACATCATATCTAGTGGGTTATTCATTTTATTTGTTATGCTCTACCATTTGAAGGCCGTAGCCCTGCTTTTAACATACGAAGCAGAGATTGATGGATTGGGAAAAAAGAAAGAAATCAAGCGATCAAAAAAGTGAGGTTGAAGATCGAGTTGGTTGAGCATCTTAATCAATTCCGTGCATATTAAATTAGTTTTGTGCTTACACATTGTCTACAGAATAAAAGCACTGTAAAGCTTGAAGATTTAACTTGAAGCCTTGCAAAAGATAATTTTGCATCCTTGCATTTGGTGGTTCAAGTGGTGTATGATAGGTTCTGTTGATCTCTGCTTCTGAAGGAAAGTTTTATAAAGATGATGAAATGGATTTCAGGACCAGGTTATGCATAACAAGCCTCTATCAGTGTATGTACTAAGAGACCACACAAGAAGCATTGAGAAGGAATTCTTGGTAACATACTCGGTAATGGGATTATCAAGTTCCGATTTACAGCAGTTCTTGTCAGGTATGTTCATAATTACTTATTTCAGCCTCTTGTGCCGTATATGCCTTCATTCAATCTATAAAAGTTCAGGACAAGCATTCATGTTTGAGATTTTATGAGTATAAAGTAACAGTGACTTTATTTCGGGTTCCATGACTGCATGTTATTTCTGATAGCCAAGTCCATTGTTCTTCATACTTCTGGATAGAGACATTTGAGGCTGCAAATATGCTTTTAAGAATCAGTTTAGAAAGAAATGCGGTTGCTTGTTTAGTTCCCTGTGTTATTATAACCTGATTGATCAATGTTACATTGGTGATTGAATGGCTTTCATGTTTTTTATTAAAGATTGTTGCTTGTGCAATATTTTAAGCTATTGGTAAAATAAATTGTTTTAGAAAACCTCATGGTCTTTAGGGGTGTTCAGAAAAGCTATTGCAGATGAATAACATTTATTCTTATGTATTTGAAAATGTAGTATGCCAAGCTCAAAGTTATGGCGCAAGAAAGTGAATTTACGGTATACTGTGGTCCCAGGAGATGTCACCCCCCCTTCCCTGGCATCTTTGTTGTGACATGAAAAGTGATGTTACACCACATATCTATAAAAATGTGGTAATCTAATTGAATGTGGCACTAATCTACTAATGTAGTTCCCTTCTAAAATAAAATAAAAAAAAGTAATACTCCCTCCGTTTCAATTTATGTGAACCCATTTGACTGGGCACGGAGTTTAAGAAAAGAGAGAAGACTTTTGAACTTGTGGTGTAAAATGAAGCACATATATTTTGTGTGGCTATAAATCATTGCATAAAGGTAAATTGTTTCCAAATAAGGAAAGAGGTCATTCTTTTCGGCACGGACTAAAAAGGAAATAGGTTCACATAAATTGAAACGGAGGGAGTATATTACTTTATTTGTTCTTTTTTTTCCTTTGCTTTTTGGGTTTTAGCCACTAGATCAGCCTGATGTGTTCACTTCTTCGGGATTTTTCATAATCAGACCCATCCTATGTTATGGAAGGTTGTTAGTTCTGCGTACACTCTACCCTCCCCAAACCCCACTTGTGGTATTACACTGGATATGTTGTTATTGTTGTTGTAGACCCATCCTATGTTATGGAAGGTTGTTAGTTTGCTGAGTTAAGCACCTTCAACAATACTTGCTTAGATCTACCTTTTAAATTAATTACAATATATCTGGATTTTTGCATAAAATAATATTCTGTTGGTTTGACGTCTAATAACATGTATATTGTTTACTTATCACGGGTATGGAGTTGCTCTGTTAATATGAACTAAAAAAAGTCAGTTTCCCCTGAGTACCGTGAAGTTCTCTAATAGCTATTCTGATTCTCACCACCTACTAAATGACAAATACATAGCTTAGTGCTATGAATTATTCCAACCTATATGTATGTAGTTGAAAATATAACAAGCCCACAGTTCCACTTCATTTGTGTAATAGGTTAACGCTTCTGAACCACTTGATGACAGCATAGTTCAGTACTTCAGTCTCTGGGCAAATGAAAGTGAAGCCTTTAAATGTTATGAGTGAACAAGAGAATATTGCTATTCTTTATTTTTTCCCATTCATTATTCGGTCTACACGCTTTCTAGAATGAAACTCAAAGAAATCAACAATCATGGATGACTATATTGATTCTCAGACTTGCAGCTCCTTGAAGAAAATACATTGCAACTTTTGTGGGCAGGGAAAGAGCTCACCAGAGGGAAAAAGTTGTGCGACTTTATAGGAAGAAATGAGAAGACAAAGGTACATAAATTTTTTTCTCCACCTGTCACAAGGATATATCAGTACACTAACATTTTACCTACTGGTGGCAGATTTTAATCAAGCTGCAGCCACATGTTCCACCTCCTGCATCACTTTCTGGTACTTCTATTTCCCACTGGAGTGGTTTTTCTTTTTTTGTTGGTTTGGGGAGCGGGAAGGGGGGTTTCAACTGCAGTAATTTGAGAAATATCTTACTGACATTTTTGTTTTCTGCACTGTTTTTTTCCCCCCACATAAACATAAAACTTGATGCATTTTTATTTTATTTTGAAGGTGGAGAAAATTCTTGAAATAAAATGTCCTCTGGTGTGAATGACTTTCAAATTGGGGAACACACTACTATTGAATGCCTATCTTGTTTATTGGTGTGCTTTCCTTCCTTCTGAGCTGCAAAGGTTTGCGACTTACCGAGACATTTAACTGCCTGCTGGTTGACAGCATATTGATGTTGTAAAGACTGCACGCTTAAATTATTTATGTTCTCCTTGCATCTCAACTATGATGACTATCCTGAATGTTCTAGTGCTTAATGCTACAAGTCAAACTCGGTGAATCTTGTCATCAGATTCATATAATTTGTAAGCTATTGTAAATAAAAAATGTTTTTTTGGATTTTTGTCTTCCAAAAGGTGTCGTATTTTGGCTAGTTATGTCTGATCCCTTTTCTTTTTACTTTTGTGGTTCATGTTCTTCATCTTGCTCAGTTTGCTGTGCTTACAATAAGTGCAATGAAGATGATTCGATCACGTAGTTCTTCTATTCTTTCATCTAATGGTCCTAAACGTACAATGAAGATGGATTCGATCTTGTAGTTCTTTCTTTCATCTAATGGTCCTACTTCTTGGGACAATAAGGAGAAATACAGATATGTAGAGAAACAACTTGTACTAATGCTTCATGAACTAGAGAAGACAGATATATCATAGCTTTGCTTTAATATTTTCTAGAGACACGAACCAAAAATAAAATTTCTTTGATATTTGTGGAAGTATACTGTATACAGGCTTTGGCTCTCACTTTGTACCTGGATATTCTACATCTTTGATGGTTTCCATTCATTTCATGGGAATATTAAATATATGGAATTCCATAATATGACAAACCAGTCCCGTTTTTTCTGTTCGCCATTAAGAAAATAGTGTTATTTCAAGGGATTGTTACACAATTAGCCAGCTAGATTTAATGTTTACTTTTTTTGACTAGTATACATAGATTATACATTAAATATACACAATTATACATGAATTGTACATATATTATATGTTCGCCGGCTCTTTTTTGTATAAGAGATTAGGTGGGCGGCTATTTAGGTTAATTCTTCTTATTTTTTCAATCTCAAGCTAGTTGAGGCTAGCTATATAATCTTTATAGGAAGTTTTACCTCCTGTAGCAAATGTATACACCCTATTTATACCAACCTAGTTGAGGCCAACATGCATTAAAAGAATAACTATTGGTTTAGAAAATAATGTTATTCTTTTAATGCATCTTTATCGCTAGCAATAGTTAATTGAAGTAAAATGTATTTTCACTTTAAGGTATTGCTTAATACTGGTAAATTAATGTGGTTTGATATAAACACTTGACGTCGGTAAAGATCTTTTTATCGGTTATGCTTTGTGAGACTCGTGTAATTGGAGATTTTTCTGTATTTTTCTCTGAGTTCTTTCGTAGGGAAATTCCCCTGCATTTTTCATCCTCTGGTAAATGGAAGGATCATATAAATATCCTTAGATCTTACTTTGCTTTTGTTAAATCAGCTCAAGGTCGAGCATCCATGGCGGTTTACAAGTGAGAGAAAGCGGAATATTCTAGAACAGTAGAGAGAGGAAAAATAGAGAGTGAAATCTGAAAATGATCACTAGAATTAGAATTATGACAAGTACTGTAGCATACATATATACATCAAAATGAATTTCTAATCTATGTCTAATCTAACCACTTTATAGATATAGCAACTACACAATTTACATAATTAACCACTAATAATCTCAATACCCCCCTCAAGTTAGTGGTGTGGAAAACACTGCCAACTTGTGTAGAGCAGCTGAATGTCGAACTCCTGTCAGTGCCTTTGTTAGAACATCAGCTAGTTGATTTGTTGTTCCCACATGATGTAATGAGATCAACCCTTCCTGTAGCTTATGTCGTACAAAGTGACAAGCAACTTCTATATGTTTAGTTCTCTCATGAAATACAGGGTTCCTGGCTATGTGCATAGCTGATTGGCTGTCACAAAACACAGCAATTGGCTTGGGAGATGGTACTGAAAGTTCTTCAAACAATCGACTAAGCCATACCAATTCTCCCACTACCTTTCTTAAGGCTCTATACTCTGCTTCTGCTGAGGAGAGGGAGATAGTGTCTTGTTTCTTTGATTTCCAACTTATTGGACTGTTTCCCATCAACACAAGGTAGCCACTTACAGATTTTCTGGAATCTGGGCATGCTGCCCAATCCGAGTCACAATATGCCTTGATTGTGTAATCTTGATCTTTAGATAAGAAAATGCCTAAGGTGGGATCCTTCTTCAGGTATCTAAGTAGATGAAAAGCTGTTGTCAAGTGTGGTTTCCTGGGATCATCCATGAACTGGCTTAAGTGTTGCACACTATAAGCTATATCCAATCTAGTGTTGGTGAGGAAATTGAACTTTCCTATCAGCTTCCTATAGTAAGTAGGATCTGTTAATTTTTCCCCTTCTTTGGCTTTGAGCTTCATAGTAGGATCCAATGGAGAACTAAAGCTACTATAGTCTGTACAGTGATACTCTTTTAACAAGTCAAGAGTGAATTTTCTTTGGGAGACTATGATACCATCATCTTTGTAGAGGATTTCCAAACCCAAGAAATAATGTAGTTTCCCCAAATCTTTTATTTTGAAATTATTATTCAAGAATGTTTTCAGGTCTGTAATTTCCACAGTGTCAGTTCCTGTAACTACAATATCATCAACATACACTGCTATGTATACAATGGACTCTCCAGTTTTCTTACTAAACAAGGAATAGTCATACATTGAATGCCTATAGCCCCTTGAGCATAGGGCTTCATTTAGTTTGGCATACCACTGCCTACTTGCCTGCTTGAGGCCATAGAGGGATTTGTTAAGTTTACAAACTAAGTTTGGGTTGTCAACTGCCAGCCCCTGTGGTACCTCCATGTACACTTCCTCATTTAAATCTCCATGCAAGAATGCATTATTTACATCTAGTTGTGACATATACCACCCTTTCTTCACAGCTATGGCTATTAATGACCTCACAGTTGTCATCTTAACTACAGAGGAGAAAGTTTCTGTGTAATCAATTCCAGCCTGTTGGGTGTATCCTTTTACAACTAGCCTGGCTTTAAGTCTTTCTACACTACCATCTGCCTTGTGTTTTATTTTATATACCCACTTGCACCCTATGGTTTTCTTTCCAGTAGGTAAGGGAACTAAGTCCCAAGTATGATTGGCATGTAATGCCTCAAATTCTTGAGTCATGGCTGTTTGCCAAGCAGGACTCATAGCTGCCTCATCATAAGATGAGGGTTCATTGTTAGTGTAGATGTCTCTCACAAGATTTTGACTATCAAGATTCAGGGCATCATGGGTGATATGATTCCAATTAGAAAAAGATGCACTAAGAGAAAATAGTGCAGTAGTACTGTTGACTGTAGCAGAAGATGGTGAAACAGTAGATGTTGGTGATTTTAGTATGGGAAGAGAATGTAAGTAGTCCTGCAAGTATGCAGGTGTTTTATGTGGTCTTTGTGATTTTCTTAGGACTAACAGGAGTGGTGGCAGGTTGAACTACTGGTGATGGGATAGGAACAGGGGATCTGGGAATTGATAAGGTGGATTTTCAGGATGGTTATCTGGTTCTGGATACTGAGAAGGATTTTGTGTAACATCTGGGAATTGATAGGGTGAATTTTCAGGGTGGTTATCTGGTTCTGGATACTGAGAAGGATTATGTGTAACACTAGGGCCATTGTCACTTTCATCAGCAAAGTTGGTACCTTCTTGAGTTGCATCAGTGGGTGGAAACTCATTAAGAATAGAGGGAAAAGAAGAAGTATCAAGAGACAAAGCAAAAGGGAACACACTTTCAACAAAGACAACATCTCTGGATATAGATATCCTTTTTGTGGCAAGATTTAAGACCTTGTACCCTTTGACTCCATGGGGATAACCAATGAATATATGAGGAGATGTTCTAGGTTCAAATTTGTCTCTGTGTACTTTTGGTACAGTTGGGTAACATAGGCATCCAAAACTCCTCATATGGGAGTATGTTGGTTTTTTATTATAGAGTAGTTCAAAAGGAGATTTTGGGTGGCTATGAGTAGAGGGTAGTCTGTTTATGATATATGTTGCACATAAAATGCATTCCCCCCAATATTTAGTAGGCAGTTTTGATTGGAATAGAAGTGCCCTGGCAGTCTCTAAGAGATATTTATGTTTTCTCTCCACTATGCCATTCTGTTGGGGTGTATAAGGGCAAGTTCTTTGATGGATTATGCCTTTAGAATTGAAAAACATGTTTGCCTCTGTGCTAGTGAACTCTGACCCATTGTCAGATCTGATTATTTTTAACTTTGTATTAAACTGGGTTTCAACCATGGAGGCAAATATTTTCAGAACTTGCAATGCATTACTTTTGGATGAAAGAAGATTAGTCCAAGTGGACCTACTATAGTCATCCACTAATGTAAAGAAGTATTTATAGTTATCATGGGTTGTCACATGGTAGGGTCCCCACAAGTCTATATGTAGGACTTGGAATATTTTTGTGGAAGCATGTGTTTTCTGGGGAAAAGGCAATCTGCCTTGTCTAGCCATTGGACAAATAGAGCAAAGAAAAGGTTGCTTTGGTGAAAAAGAAACTGGGATAGAGGTGATCCCTCTCATTTTGATAAAGGGTACATGCCCAAGTCTATTGTTCCACAAAAGATTAGGATCAGAAGATTCTATAAAAGATTTCAAACTAACACTTGTATTATTCAAGCATGAAGTATTTACATTTGGAGGAAAAGGGACACACTTATTTGTGGACAGTGAGTTATGAACATGTGAACTAGTATGACAATGTGAGTTGTGTGTGCAAAAGGAACTATTGATAAAGGAACCTGAATACTGGTTTCTCAGACACTTTGGGCAAAGAAGATATAGTCCATCACAAGCTTTACCAATCTCCAGAGGCCTCTTCATTGAAGGGGCCTGCAGAACACATAGGTTATTAGTGAAAGCTACTAGGCTTCTAGGATTTACATTAGTTAGACCATGAATGGAAATAAGATTGTATCTGAAAGAAGGTACAAACATTACTTTATGTAAAGTGATGTCAGGCACAAGGGCTACACTACCAATCTCAGTTACTTTTACTTTGTATCCATTTGGTAAAACAACTAGGAGAGGATAGGGTAATGTTATGATATTAGTCAGTAGGTTTTTGTTGAAAGTCATATGGTTTGATGCCCCTGAATCTAGGATCCAAGATTCACTCTTGTTTTTGAGACACTGACATGACAATTTACCAAAATCTATTGAGGAAGTGCAGACTATTATACCTGCGAAGTTTACAGCTCCATTGATAGAATTGCTGGTATTTGCATTGTCTCCTCCATTGCTGGCTTGAAAATGCTGAAGCAAATTCAAAATTTGTCCATAGTGCTCCTTTGACAGGCTGATAGTTTGGTCTGTGTTTAAGTCACATTGTGCTTCTCCTTTGTTGGATGGCATTTCTGAAGAGTGATCACCATGTACATTAGCTACTATTCTTTTCCCTTTGCTGAAGTTCTGATTGCGATTGAAACTCTGAAAATTCTGGTTGAACTGTTGATTTGGATTGTAATTTTGATTGCGAGACTGTCCAAAACTCTCAGGATAGCCATGTAATTTGAAGCATTTGTCTTTGGTATGCCCTGGCTTCTTACAATAGTCACACATAGGTCTCCCCCTTCCTTGCCCAGTATGATTGTTGTTGTTCGATGAGTAGTTGGTTCTATAACCATTAGGTCTGGAGCTAGTAACATTCATGGAGGTAGATTCAACAAACAGCTGAGTATGTGGTTTGATTTCCCTCTGCTTTTCATCTTGTATTAGGAGAGAAAACGCTTGAGCAAAATTAGGGAGTGGGTTCATCATGAGGATGCTACCTCGGATTACAGTGTAGGTTTCATTTAGGCCCATGAGAAACTGTATTAGACGTCTATCCTGTTCAGCCTTGTAAAAATTTTCCTTTGCTCCACAGATACAAGTACATGTACATTGTGAATTTTTGCTCAAAGTGCTCAACTCTTCCCAAAGTTTCTTCAATTTTGTATAATAACTAGTGATATCGAGAGTCCCTTGAGATGTATCATTTATTTCCTTCTGTATTTGATATAATCTGGCTCCATTCGTCTGCTCATACCTATCTTCCAATTCAATCCATAGCTCCATGGCATCATTTGCGTATTCGACGCTGTATGTTATTTCTTTGGATAGTGAATTAAGTATCCACGAAGTTACCATATCATCACAACGTTCCCACTGACGAAATGTAGGTGATTGAGGATCTGGACGCTTACATTCACCGTTGATGAACCCTAATTTGTTCTTCACTGATAGTCCTCGCAATTCACTACGTCTCCATGAGCGATAGCCAATTCCACTGAATGCGACAGAGACAAGCATAGCTCCGGGGTTATCCGATGGATGCAGATACAAAGGATCACCAGGATCAATTCCGGAATTTCCTGGAACTGGGACATGCACAGCGGTGCCAGTCAGATTGTTCGAATCGTCTGAATCGCCGATAGCCATTAGTGATTAAGGCTAGATATGTGATTTTCGTACCTTTAAAAGTGAAATCCCCCTATTTCCGATGTGAAATTAGGGCAAAAATTGAAAAAACTTTCGGTAAGCAATCAAATTGGAACAAAACTCAGAGATAACAAATATGAAGATGAGAAGAAGCGACAGAGATGTGGTAGATCGAAGCGGTAGGCTCTGATACCATGTTAAATCAGCTCAAGGTCGAGCATCCATGGCGGTTTACAAGTGAGAGAAAGCGGAATATTCTAGAACAGTAGAGAGAGGAAAAATAGAGAGAGTGAAATCTGAAAATGATCACTAGAATTAGAATTATGACAAGTACTGTAGCATACATATATACATCAAAATGAATTTCTAATCTATGTCTAATCTAACCACTTTACAGATATAGCCACTATACAATTTACATAATTAACCACTAATAATCTCAATAGCTTTTATGAGTATCTTGAAAACTAAATTGGTGGTGATCCTTGATCTGGTAACATTGACTAAAGAAAAGATTATAAGGAGCTTAGTCGACAACTTTTGGTATGCTTTTTGGTATTTGATTCTCTAGACGTTGGGGAAATTGGTGGGGAGAAAGTGTTTCTTGTAATATGCTTATCAGTATCCCCAAGTGCTGGACAACATCAATTAATCTTTACAACAATGTTATTTTGGGTCTATATTTTGTCAAAACTCTGGCTGACATCTTCACTTGGTTTACGTTTTGGTACACCCACTTGAAATCCAAAAGATGGTTCTTCTTTTTTCTAAAAGCAACCTTTTCTTTTCTGCCAGACCAAAATAAATGAAAATGAAAGTATGTTTTTTTTTTTTTCCGGATTTTCTTTGCTTTTTGCTAATAGTGAAAGGAAACTGTTTACGAAAATCTAGCCTTCTTTGCCCCAAGCTTTGGTCCACTGAAGAAAGATAGAGTCATTGCCATTTTAACCGTTGTCAAAAGACGGGAAGTGGTAAGAGCTTAGAGTGTTATCTGTGGATTAGACGCTCGTCATGGTTCGTAATCGTATTGCAGTCAAAAGGTTAGTATTTTAATGGAGAAGGATAAAGGGGCGGACTCATTATTCATCTAATTCATAATCGTGAATATGGTCCTCAGGAATTTCTCAGTTATCAAAAAAAAATTAATATCTAGCCTTCCTTACTTCCCATGGAAGATGGTGCAAAAAAATACTGTCTCAAAGGCTTTGGTATAGTGGTAAGAGTACAATACATGACGTGTAGGTTAGATGCACAGTACTGGTTCGAACTATATTGTAAACAAAAGTCTAGTATTTAAGTGGAGAAGAATACATGAGTGATCATTATCCATGGAGTTCCAAATCTTGCACGCTGGCTTCAAAGATTTCTCAGTTATAAAAAAGACTGTCGCACATAAATTTAAATTGATGAGATAGTTAGATGCTTCTTGATCACGCCCAACTATGCCTTATAAAAAGGACTAAGCGGACGTTGCAAATATAATCTGAGTATTTAGCCCAGAGTCGAACCCACAAGGAATTAACCTACCAATTACTCTTGTTAGACTCACTAAATTCTACGTAATCAACCTCCCAAACGTTTCGAATAACAATTGAGGATATTTTTACTAACTATAACTGACTGCAATTAAGTAAATAAAGACTAACTATGATTAAGTTGTAAACAATTAAGAGAAGGATCTAAGGTTATGATTTCCCCTATTGATGGAATCCCTTCATGTTAAGTTTCATATAGATTTGCCTAACCGTCTCTATCAATCATGAGCACTCTTATTACCGTAAATCTCTCCCGAGTAATCACGACAATTTACTAGACGCACTCTCCCGAGTTACGCTAGCTGACTTTTATTACAGTTCACTTAAGATTGCACCCAAGGCTTCATTATCCCTAATCCCACCTTTAAACCCTCAGTTATTGATCCCTCATATACTTTGGGAGTAGTGTTGTTCAACAATTACCTAAATATGCACTCTCTCCCGAGTAATACATACTAAATAGGCACATCTAATTGAGGATCCTATCAATTAACTATAACAAGAACGTAGTTGAACAAATAGAAAATAAACCGGGCAAACTATATTAACATAACACGAAGTCCATCCTTCAATAGGTTCCATCAAAACCCTAGACAAAGTATTTAGCTACTCATAACAAAGCAAGATGAAATAAATAAAGTATTCATAATGTGCAAAATAGAATAACAAAGAGAAGATTGAAAAACTCTAATGGTTGATTGCTCTTCTCACACTTGTTCTTCCTCCAATGCAGTCTAAAAACAAGCTTCTTCCTTTGCTTGGGCGAGTTTGTTGAGTTTATAAAGGGTTAGGATAAGTTTTCCCCGATTTACACTTTAGTCCCAAAATTTCTGGACAATTACACAGTCCATCGCGGTCGCGGCAGAACGCGGCACGACCGCGGTGAAACACAAGTGTTCTGCCTCACGTTCTTGGCCTACCGCGGTCCAGCTGCGGTCGACCGCGGTCGCGGTGGCTTCTTGCCCAGTCCTCCTTTGCTCTTTCTTGCTTATTTTCGTTTGGGTTCTTCTTGATTGGCCTTATATCCACATTGTTGACTCCAAAACACTCCATAGTATCTTCCTAATTTGGATTAGTCCCTGCAAAACAAAAGAACACCAATTAGAGTATTTTGTTATCATTTAGCCTTTAAAACAACCATAAAATATGGCACAATTGGAGTGTAAATAACATCTATATAGCCTATTATCACTTCCGGAACTAATCTTTCTTGGCAAAGATAGATATGAAGTCACTCGACCGAAGGAAGATGGACAATTATAACGTTACACCCCAAAACTATACGGCCTTCCAAATGACAAACATGGAATGTTTTGGAAGGGACAATAAGAAAACTCGACTTATACAATAGGTCCCAAAAAAGTACTGTTTTGGGATCCCACAAGTTTCCCGCACAGTATATGACTCCCACTGTTCCTTAATCCCTCTGTCCTTCTCTGGTCCATCAGTATGTAATTAAAATTAAGTCCTCATTAAAACTTTTCCTGTTGGAAACATTTATTAAGCTTTTAGCTTTAAAGTGAGTTAATAATAAAAGAGTGTCACACAAGTGGGCTTTGCAATCGAAATTGATGATCATCTTTGGTATTTCCTTTGATTAGATTGACCTCACAATAATACTTTATTTAATCATCATTTCCCACCACTAATAAAAAGATATTTGCTATCATCAGCCTTTGATAGTATTAGATAATATAGATTAAACAAAAAGTTGTTTTACTCGAGAAATAAAATGCTAACATATTTAATATTGATAGAAAAGAAAATTCAATACTAAGTGGGCGTTTGGATATAAGAATTGTAAAATTCCAAAAAAAAAAAAAAAATTCAAGTGAAAATGCTATTTGAAAATTAGAGTTGTGTTTGGACATGAATATGATTTTGGGTTATTTTTGAAGTTTTCTGAGTGAATTTTGAAAAACAGTTTTTTGGAGTTTTTCAAATTTTTAAAAAATTTCAAAATGCATCTTTAAGTGAAAATTGGAAATTTTATTAACAAACGCTGATTTTGAAAAAAGGTGAAAAGATTTCGAAAAAAAGGAAATTCTTTCTTATGTCCAAACGGGCTCTAAGTTGAAACAAATACAAATCAATTTCTAAAACACAAGTCGCTCATTTAACTTTTTTTTTTTTTAATGAAGAAACATAATTTTATTGATAAATAATATGGGTATAAATTCTGTTAGTACTTTTGATTCTTCTCTCCTGATGAATTGGGTTAAATTAGAAAGGTGAAAGTTCTTCTCAAATTAAGCAAAGTGACTCATTATAAATGAAATTATGTATGATTTTTGCAATAATTATTGATGTACTTTGAGGACCATTAGACCACTTTCTTTCTGCAGCCTCCACAGATTCTTATTCTTAATAAAATCATCATTAGCTTTAAATTACACATTAAACTAATAGCATTAACAATTTATTACTAAAACTTAAGGTTGAAGACTTGAAGCCTTCTAACATCAATCTGTAGCAGTCAAAAGACAAATTCATCCAACATGGATACTGTATTTTATTTCTGCATTATGCTCAAAATAGCTCTTTATTAGTCATATTCTTTACCTTTATATTGAGGGTTCAAGTTCCCCTCTCCATCTAATGGAACCCCTCAAAAAAGGGAAGAATAGTTCTTTATAGTAATTTTTTTTAATAATCCGGTATCCGAAGAATAGTTCTTTATAGTATTTTTTTAAGTATCCGGTATCCGAAGAATACTTCTTTATAGTATTTTTTTAACTATCCGAAGTCCACTGACTTGACTAATATGAATTCACCCGTAGGGCCCCCTAAAGGGAAACCTCTGATTAAGAACGGGAGAATTGTATCCAATCCATCTAATGAAATGGTACATCAACGAACCCCCCCCCCCCGCCCCCT